TCAGTTCCAAGGATAATTCTTGTTGGAAGGGACCTCAGGACATCATCTAAATAGCTGACACAGAAAGGTTAGAAGTAATCCTGTGTGAGATTACTCCTTTTCTTTAGAAGGTTATTCCACTCTGTGGTAGCATACATTAAAGCAAAGTAGAGTTTCTCAAACAGGCTAGTATCAATACAAAACATTGGTTTCTCAGTTTGTTACACTAAAAAAGCTAAGTGTTCTTAAAAGTTACAAACTGCCTCACTGATTAGGCAATACCTAATCTGCTTAGAATCTAAGTGGATGAACTTGCAAGACCTTAAACTCAGGGAAAAAACAGCAGGTGAGAGATTTTTGTTACATCATTGATTAAGAAATACCAGGAAATTAAATTCCAGAGGGAGACTAGACTACAAGTACTTCCTTCTTGCCCTTTACATACACACAAAAGGCTTTGTATATTCATTACAGCAAAGCATATTTTTGTCTAGAAAGTGCCCAAAACTGAAAGCTCTCCAAAACATATGTAAAGTGAAATCAGGACCTGGTCAAAACAACAGCCTATTAAGAATAGGCTAGAAAATACAGCACAATTAGTGTACCTATATACCTGACATGATGGGGGGAATATCAAGGTAGCCACCAATAAGCAGCTTAATAATAGGTTAACAAGCAAGGTACAGCTAATTAGGGAACTAACAGAGATGAACCTGTGACACCTGCAACAGCGCAAGCAAGCAAGGAGGCAGACACCTGAGATACACAGTAAGGATACTAAACATACTATGGCAATGCTGGTAACTGCAGCTTGGTGTTAACTGCTTTATCCTGCTATTAAAAGGACACAACACAAAGTTAAAACCAACATGAACAATGTCTGTTGTACTACCTTTAAAGAACTGGTTTAGTGCATACCAAAGATTACATTCAGGCCACTAGATAAACTCCACTTTGTACTGATAATTGTACTGATAATTGGTATCTACCATCCTGCTCTAGTAAAAGAAACCTACACGAAAAATCCAGTGCCAAGTCAAGCTATGCCGACAGGTTCCCCAGAGTGCCAGCATTAGAGATTTTGGGACAGCAAGACACAGCTGGTGGGCCAGGGGCCACCCTGCAGAACACCAACAGTTGACATCACAACCAATGGGGAAGTCAAGGCTTTCCGTGCTCATTCTCAAGTTCCACCCACTGGTGAACTTGTCTTGGAACTAGAAAAAGGTACAATTTAAACAGTCAAGTCAAAATAGAGTTCTAGATTACGTTGAGCCAACTAAATGATACCTATCTCTTCATTACCTTACTGAAGTTAGGGCTAGTTACAAAAAAAAAAATAATCTTGACTCACCTAGTTTCTCGGGAGTGCACTATAACTCATGGATAGTGGAGAAGAAAAACAAACCCTGCCATTTTAGATCTTCCCCACATCTGAACAAGAAACTTCTGACAGACCACAATGCTTTCAGAAAAGCTGTTTGCATTTCTATTACGAAGCAACAACAAATACATTGATTAAATTTAGCTATAAAACAGACATTACTTTTGCTACTACTGACTGCACAAATCCTTTATCAATGACTAAAAAAAAAAAAGCCTACCACTCACTGAATTTTACCAGCAGCCTTGCTTCCAGAGATTTAACCAAATTCTACTATATGATAGCAAGTTCCATTCAGATGGCAGAGCAGCTTCAAAATAAGGTGTTTTGCCACAAACACGTTTCTTAAAGCGCCAAAGAAAAGTGTTTACACACTATTAGAAGAAAACACCAATTATTACTTATTTGTTCAGACATAAAGCTTGTTCCTCCTTCTACAATGAGTAGACAATTGCTTTTATGGAGAAAATTGTACATAAAGTGTTAGATGCCACCTTCTACATTCAAGCTACAGTTAATGCAAATCGCTCAAAGTCACTCCTTGCAATGGATGATACAGAAGATGATGATCTTACAAGTCACTGCTTTGCTGCATAAAATTTTGTACATAACTGGAAAGAATACAAAAATATGTGTGTACTAAGTTGGCTGTAGCAACAGACAATACACACATGAAGACAACACTTTTTAACGCAGTATTTTACAATAAATAACGGGGGGTGGAGGGGGGCAGACGTTCTTTAAACAAACTCAGCCACAGGATGTTCAGAAACAACTACTGGCAAAAGTTCTCTTCTTATGCCATTCACTACCAAATAATAACCTCTAGAAGACACCTAATACAAAAGGCAAAGAAAATAGGATATTTTAATTTTAATGCTACTTAGCATCTTGAAATAAGATAAAACTTCTTTGTGGACTTCAGTCTGGAAGCTAGCAGGGTAACAAAATGCCCCTTTAACCAGCTGGAAAGGGAACTTCTTGCACTCTGAGTGGTTTTGTTTACAAGGTTGTAATTACTCATATTGAAAGATTTATTTAAAAGTTACTTGAGCAAGAGCAGGGAGACATCAAAAAGGTTTTGAACTACACATGGAAGCAAACATTACTAGGTACTGAAACAAATGGCATATAGGCCATAGGAAAAAATGGGGAGAGGATAAGCACATTCCCTGTAGATGAAAAATTGTTAAGCTTTACTTAAAGTAACATGTTATTAAGCAGTTGTGAAACTCTACTGAATTCTTCATATACATTCTTTGCTAAGGAATATAGTAACATACCATAATCCCAAGCCAATGTACTCTTACAAATTTTATTAAAGCTACTGAATTTCACATCTTATCAGCAGGGGGCTTGATTTTCCAAATCAGTTCTTCATACCATTTAAACCAAAATGACTCACTTCCCAACTGTACCATCACGTAAGAGTGTATTATTACTATTTGGCTGTTACCAAGCTTTGCTGTCTAGGGATCTACCTACATAAGCTCATCTGAGACACACTGGTGGAGAATATGCATTTTCAGCCTGTGTTCCACAAAACCTTGGGGAACTGTCAACAGCTATGTGTTAACAGACAGCTAAAGGTTCCCATGAAGGGGTCTGTGTTCCCACTTGAAGCTTTAAAGGCAAACTTCTAGACAGTTAGGACACCAATGACCTAGTCTTCCTTCCTTAAGATAATTTCATTAATACGCATTAAGCTTAGTGTCCTGCCTTCTCTCTTCACAACACAGTGGGTCAGAATGACACATTCAGAACATGGCATAAAACGTAAAGGTCAAAAGCACTATACACAGGGTTAGACACTGTTTCACTTGAACATCTGCCACCTTGTGCTACCAGCCTACCATTTAGTGTGAAAACCAGCTATGATACTGTATTTCCCACTCAAGCATTCACAAATTCCTAATTCCTTATAACTTAAAAGAGAATGTTTTAAAGTAACAGTTCATTCTTCTTAGTTCTACAATAATTTATGCTTCCTATGTTGTTCTCAGTGTCAGTTACTTTCCATCCTCACACTTCTACTCATTTCTCTCCCAAACACTGCACTCTGCTGCTTTCCTTATTTTCCCCTCCAGTCCCTTCAACATGTCAGTGCCTCATCCATTCTTTCTAGCGCATAAAGTGTGATAAATAGGTGGAAAATTCTCTACCTAAATGATGAGAACACCTTACTGCCCAGGTGCATTTCCCAGAGGAAAAATGAACGTGTCTGTCTTCCACTGAAGAGGAGGAATGCATCATCACTGGTTCCACAGGCATGCTAAAAACTGTCTAGAGAGTATAAAGTTCATCTGCTCTATTTGCTCTTTTGAGCTATGCCAGGAGTACTCACTCTGCACCACAACTGTGCTACCCCAGCCTCTCCTTCGGGCTCTTCTCCACAGTTAACAGCTGCAGTCTCCTTCCAACACATTAAGAAACTGGAAGCAAACCTGTCCTTGACAGCCTCACTGCTGCCCAGGGCCTTCTGGAGAGCAGTTTAGTACCTCAAAAGTTGAAAGGACCACCATGTTACTTGAACAAACTACTTACTGCCCTTTTGCGGCTTTCTAAGTCTTGGATATTTTACAAATCCATTTTCATGAGAACTCATAAATTTGATTGCAGAAGAACCAGCTGAAAAGGCTTTTTAAGTTACATCACTGCAAACCTAATTACACTTCAAAATTCAAACAGGCATTTCAGTTACTCATCTCCAAGGAACTTCAGAGAAAAGGCCTATTGCAGAAGAACGTGGTAAACAAACCAAAAATCCTTACACATAATACAAACTACAAAGAATAAACAAAAGAGAAATGAAACATGGTATCCTAAGAGTGGTAAGACACATGACAGAAAGGGAACATGGTACCCGCAAAGTGGCAAGATATTCAGTATCTTTTAATGAGGGTGGAATGAAAGTAAAGATGCCACTTCTGCTATAGAAATATCACTGAACATTTCATTATAGTCTATATACAATGCAATCTGTGCTGCAGTATAAAAGAAAACATACTATCTTACAATAAAAGACAAAGAAATCCAAGAGTTCCTCCAAAGTTTTACTTATCATAAGAGTGGCCATACTTCTCTTATCAACCTCTAGATTTCACCGAAGTTATTGAAGAAATTCAGCAACTCAAAAAGGAAGAGGACACCACCTATCATGGGATCTCAAAAACATTCCTTAAGAGTCAACTTTACCCCTTCTCACATTAAGCAACCACCACCTTGCCTCTATAGGTAAGCATAAGCCACAAGTCTTGCCCAGAAGCTTGGGAGAAGGACACCCCAAACCCACACACTGTTCCACAGAGCCATCCTTCTACCTTTTCCAAAGAGGGATATCACAGTCCTATTGTTGGACACCTGACAGGATCCCCAAATTTTTGATACCTACTAGTTTTACCATTTAGTTACATGTAGCTTGGGGCACGTCACAATCTCACTGTGCAATGGCTTCTTCACCTATTACAAACAGCAAACCATGCTTACCGTCACAGAAGGTTTTGGATATCAGACAAGCAATGCACAAGAACCCCTACCACAGAAGTGCCAACTGAAATCTCTTTTTACCTATTAAGCACAAAACCGCGATTCTAACACACACCACCCAAAGCAACGCTGAGGACGCAGGACATCGTACCTGATTTTATAATTGGGTAAGGTGTGCTTGCGCTTAATAACTTTCTTGAACTGGTTCACAATGATGGAAGTGAGCTGAGGCATGGGCCTCCCTTCGAACTGAGACTTCACTTCAAACAGTATCACAGGGTCATCCATAAAAGAGAAGGACCAGTGTGTGAAGGGCAGGCGCGTAAAGACCAGCTTCAGCTTCCCCATCACCCGGGAGATCTTGACAAAGAGGTAGGCCGACTTGCCAAAGACCAGGTCAGCATCAATGGCCAAGTGGAAGCCACCGTTGTACTCCAGGTCTACCTCAAAGCCCAGCTCCTCAGGGCAGCCCTCTTCGTTGCAGACCACCGGCCGAATGAGCTTGACAGCTTTAAAGACGGGCAGGACATTGCCAAGAGAGACATCCCTGAGGCTGAGCCCCTCCAGCACCTTCCCCGTCATCTTGGCCTGGAGCAGCTCCTCGAACTCCACCTTGATCTTCTTGGTGACCCAGTTCCTGACCAGGGCCGTGTCCCTGAGCTCCCTAAAGAGGAAGAGGAAGATAGCATTGAGGAAGTGGCACGTCTCCTCGCGGGAGGAGGGGGCCGGAGGGGGCTCTGGCTGCTGCGGCGGCGGCGGCGGCTGCTTGGCG